CCACGACCTGAGTTTGATTCCCCAGAACCTGTAGGGTGGAAGGAGCGAACTGACTCCGCAGAGTTCTCTGACCTCCATACGTGCACTTCCCCCCATCCCCAGCATCAAGCACATAAAATATATTAAAATGTAAGGAAGCATTGTCAGATTGCAGACTACCACACAGTAGTGTGTCACGGTCTCAGGCCCCTGACCTGGGACAAATGGTACCGTCTCTCAGACCCTCTGTTCCCCACCACCTGTGCCACAGGAGCTGTCGTCTCAGCCCTGTCCTCCAGAGAGTGGTTATGAAGGGTGAAGTTAGAGCATGGATGTGGCTTGGCTCGGCGTAGAGATGCTGTGGGCAGGGGAGAGACCTGACCACAGCTGGGTCCTTTGCTTCGCCAGCCCCCCGGGCTTTGGTGACTGGGTACTCTTGGCCAGGTTCGCTGAGGTCGGCTTGGATCAGGTGGGTCTGCAGATGGAAAGCCATTCCCCATGCATCCTTCCAGTGCCGCAGAGACGATTTTCCGAGGAAGGAAATGAATAATGAATGAATATTTGCGAAATCAAGCTGCTTCTGGAAAGAATCTGCGAATGGGAAAGAGCGAAGGTGGACGGTCTTGTCATGCTGTTTCTGCAAGAGCCTGTCACCAGCAGAGAATGCAGCTTCTCCAGAGTGTATGTGGCACCGAGGCTATTGGGGTAGGGAAATGAGGCTGTGGCTCTTCAGAGCGCCACCCCCAGGGACCCCTGCCCTGTGCCTTCAACACAGCCAAACAGCTGTGGTGATATTTTGTTGACGCTTTAACAAATGAAGCTTGCCTGAAGATCAGAGTGTGGAGCTAGCCACACTAGTTAGCCATAGAGGCCAGGCAGTGGGGGCACACACCTTTAATCCCAGCACTCGGGAGACAGAGGCAGGTGGTCTCTGTGAGCCACCATTGCTTGACTCTGTTTCTCCTTTACACTGATTCAACTCCTGTTGCCCAGGATGGCCTTGAACTCACACTAAGGAGGTGGAGCCTGGAAGGGATATGGCTGGGCCTAGAGAGGAACCTAAGGCGGGAGGAAATAGGAGCTCATTGCATTCATTCTGGGGATTCATGGAGACACGATCTTGCCCCTTTGGTCTGAGGATTCAGTAGAGGCAAAAAGTCTCTCTAGCGGCTGGCTCCTTTACTCCTCTGATCTTTCCATCGTTTACTCCGATATCTCACTCTGGGTTTTTATTACGAGGATCAATTAAAATTCACTCTACAAACAGTCATTCGGCAGCATGCAGCTGTCAGTTGTCAACCTTGTTTCGGTGGGCACGCGCTAGACAGAACCGAAGTCAAGGCAGGGTGGAGATGGAAGCCCTGAGGAGTAAGTCGGAGGTGCAGCGGTGGGCCTCAGCAGACAGTGGCCAGAGCATTGGCTGCTGGGACATAGGGGACTGCTGCTTGGGAGAGGTGCTGGTGGGCAAATGTCTGAAGGATAAGCTAGCCCCAGGAACAGACCCTGGGATGAGGCCAAGGCTCCCGGTGTGACTTGACTGGCAAGACCTGATCTTGAGAAGTGAGCCTAAGGCCTCAGAGCAGAGATAATAGAGGGTCCTGACGGGACTTGTAGCCCTAGGTGAAGGGTCAGCTCTGTGTCCTGCAGGGTTGACAGCTGCACTTGCTGGGTGGGGACAGGCCGTGGAGAAGAGGAAAGCCGTCTATGAGGCTGGGAATCCCGGCAGGGGACACTCAAGGGTTAGACTCAGAGACCGTCTAGCTGTGGACAGTGCTGTCTGCTCATTTGAGGGGCATCTTCAGCTAGCATGGCAGGCAGCCAGCAGTGCCTGGCTCACCAGCAAGCCTGAGTCCCTCTGCACCATGGGAGGGGTCCCAGCAGGAAGTTCTAGGGTCACATGCTTATGTTCTTCCTTTGCAAAAATGATGTCATTTAATCTGTCTCACCACTGCCTCAACACTAACACTTCCCCTTCCTCTTTTTTTCAGCTTCTATGTAGCAGAACTGAGTTAGGGCACATCTGTCAGCATTTGCAACACCCCTGCCACCCCATGTGCATGCCTTATTCCCCCAACCATCACCCATGTATAGGGGATTGACCCAAAGGCCTTGTACATGTTAGGCTATTGGTGTATCACTAAGACATACCCAGATCTTCCCCTCTGCTTCCCTCCTTCCCTCCCTCCCTCCCTCCCTCCCTCCCTCCCTCCCTCCCTCCCTCCCTCCTTCCCTCCTTCCCTCCCTCCCTTCCTCCCTTTCTCCCTCCCTCCCTAATTAGTTGTTGTTAATTTTTGTTTTTGAGACAGAGTCTCACTGTAAAGCCTGTTGTGGATTTGCTTTATAGGTCAGGCTGGCTTCGAACTCAGACATCCACTTGCCTCTGCCTCCTGAGTGCTTAGGTTGAAGGCTTGTGCCACCATGCCGACTGTCCTAGTTTCTACTGCTCTGATGAAACACCATGACCACAAGCAACTCGGGGAAGAAAGAGTTTATTTGGTTTGTGCTTCCACATGTTCATTCCTGAAGGAAGGCAGGACAGCAACTCAAGCAGGGCAGGAACCTGGAGACAGGAGCTGGTGCAGAGGCCACGGAGGGGTGCTGCTTACTGACTTGATCCTCGTGGCTTGCTCAACCTGCTTTCTTATAGAACCCAGGACCACCAGCCCAGAGGTGGCTCCACCCATGATGGGCTTAGCCCTTCCACATCAATCATTAAGAAAATGTCCTGTAGACTTGCCTATAGCCCAATCTTAGGGTTACATTTTCTAAATCGAGGCTCCTTCCTCTCCAATGACTATAGCTCATGTCAAGTTGACCTAAAACTAGCTAGCATGACAGCCTTCTTCTTAATTTGAGACAGCATCTTGACTGGTTACTCAGGCTAACTTTGAACAACTGAACTGTTTACCTCAGCCTCCCAAGTAGCTGGGATATCAGGTCTGGCTTTCCTCTTCCTCTGCCTCCTCCTCCTCTTCCTCCTTCTCTTCCATCAGGGCCTCATCCCTCTATCTTACTGTGTTACTAAAAATGACCTTTTCTAGTCCCTCTGCTTGTGCCTTCTGAGTGCTAGGATTACAAACGTCTGTCACCACTCCCATCTTTGCAGTATTGGGGCGCAAACCAAAGGCCTTAGCATTTTAGACAAACACACTAGCAACTTAGCTACACCTCAGCTCTCATTCTCTTTAAAGAACCTCCCTCCCCACAGGACCCACAAAGCTGAACCAGGCTGTGGTGGCAGTTGCAACTTTTCCTCCCAGGAGCCTCAGTGACTGGTGCTGCAGTAGTGACCAGTCCCTCTGCTCCAGGACAGGAGACAGTCCCAAGGCTGTGGGGGTGCCTCGACAGCTATCCAGAGGTGTGTCTTGTGGCCGCCAGCATCCCTGTGTTTATTCTGCTCTGTGTTGGCCTGTGTCTTGTGGTTAAGGTCCTTGCTCCTAAGGAGAAGTTTGTGGATCATTAGGTCATTCTGTGTGAGGGACGTGGGACAGCATGAGGTCACGGGTCTTGCCAGATCCGCCTCACAGATAGATTCAGATAGTCTGTGTCTAGTATGAAGTCAGTGTTGATGCACAGGAATGTCCCTCATTTAATCATCGTTTATTATTTATTTTTAAATCCGTGTGTGTGTGTGTGTGTGTGTGCGTGCGTGCGTGTGTGTGTGTGTGTGTGTGTGTGTGTTAGGAGACAGATGGAAATGAGGTGACTTGATATTCTGTCGTGATCAGGGTGTTCAGTTCCTCTACAAAGGAGACATGAGTGTCAGGACTGGACTTGAATTTTTTTTTATCAATGAAGTCTTATGAATAATGCAATCAGGACAGTCCTTTACAGGCTTTCAAAGAGCTTTTTATGTATGCGATGTCATCAAATTGTCTTAATAGCTGGAAGCTGGTATTGCCTTTATTTTGAGGAAGGAGTAACTGAGTCTAAAAGACCTGTCCTTTGTTCATTATGCTAATGACAGGCTCTGAAATATAGCATTGACGTTTTCCCTGGGCTTCTCTTGAGCACAGTGATGCCTCCACCCCTCACACAGACCATGTCTTATTATGTAGCCCAGGATGGCCCAGAATTCATAGTCACTCAGTCAGTCTCTCTCTCTCTCTCTCTCTGTCTCTCTCTCTGTCTCTCTCTCTCTCTCTCTCTGTCTCTCTCTCTGTCTCTCTCTCTCTCTCTCTCTGTCTCTCTCTCTCTGTCTCTCTCT